TCTCACAATCAAATGAGGACACACACTCTCACAATCAAATGAGGACACACACTCTCACAATCAAATGAGGACACACACTCTCACAATCAAATGAGCTCCTGATACTCACATAATAAGGGCAGCACCTTGTTTGTTTGTTTGGACACTTTACTCAAAATTTGTTTTTTGAGTGCAGTGAGTTTGATGTAAGGTCATAACAATGTCTGTGAATGGGCTAATCATTCTCGTTCTTAGTGTGTACAAGGGTGGGGCCGCAGGGGATCTGGCCTTACCTCAAAGCTGATTGGCCCCCACAGTGCTCCCTTCCCTGTCACTCACTGATTCAAAATATATCATTGGCTAATGATTAGGTTATACCACTGTATGATTTATGGCTCCTCTATATATATGCCCCCCTTCCTGAGTTCCATCAGCTCAGGATGTCTGCCATCAACTTCCAAGACCCCCCCCCCCCCCCCCCCACAATAAAAAAAATCTAGAATCTCCCCTGTTCTGCATATAGGTGCTCCTCTGAAACCCAGAAAGGAACTAAGCTTCTCAGAACTCCCGTCGGGTCAACTGGAGATTCGCTGGTCCTCCAAGTTCAATATCTCAGTGGAGCCGGTTCTATATGTGGTCCAGCGAAGGTGGAACTACGGCATACATCCCAGCGAGGACGACGCTACTGAGTGGCAGACTGTGGTGCAGGTACACCGACTGTGAGGCACCTAGAGGGCAAGCGATCAGATATACCTGTACTGCTTTCATCAAGTGTGTTTTGGGATCTCAACTAAAGGCTGCTTTTTAGTTTTGTGGCTTGGTAGCGTTTACAGCACTTGGAATACATCATTTGAATTATCTGTTTTTTGCTTCAATATTTTGTGCCTATTAAACTTGGCAGGAAAATTATTATTTTCTCTGGTTATTACATCAAGAATCATGATTGAAGACCAGAGAACCATTGGAGCTGTACACACGCATGGACTGTGATTGTGGGTATGAACCCTGACCACCCCTCCCCCCCACTCCCCAGGACTAATTCTCAGTGTATCTCTCTTTGTCAGACCGCTGAGGAGCGGGTCCAAATGGCTGACATCCGAGCCAGCAGGTGGTACCAGTTCCGAGTGGCCGCTGTCAACGTTCATGGAACCCGGGGCTTCACTGCACCGAGCAAGCACTTCCGCTCCTCCAGAGGTCTGTCTGCTCTAGTGCCCATAGTGTGTGGATATTGAATCCCTTCTGTCTACTGAAGTTCACACCCATCTCTTGACATCTAGACTGATTACCCAGGTGCAGAGGTCTATAGATGGGAGCAGAGACATAACATATATCTGGGTCTCTGTGTGTCCATCAGTCAATCTCTGATGGAGTGGTTTAGACAGCATAAGCATCAGGGAAGCACAAATTCAAGGTAGGACAGAATGGCAGATATGGCTGTTCCTCAGATTGCCTCAAAAAAGCCACAAGAAGCTATCCTGTTTACCATGCTTACTAAAAGTCAGGCTTTGTCTTTCCTTCTGAATCTCTCAAACATTAAAGGTGTTCTGAACATCTTCAAACCGTTGACTTGCTAGAGAAAGTCTAAGTCACACTGATGTTTTTGGGAACTTGTAACCAAGCATTTAACCTCACAATGGACTCACTATCCCTTCTATACTCATGCAAGATGCTGCACGTTTAAATTAGATTACAATTACAAGTTATAAATGCCCATGAGTACTGACCTGTTCCTGGGAGGTGCTGGCTGTTATGTGTGATTTCCGAATCTGGTTTAATGAACTCAAGGTGCGCAGGGTGGGTTTTATTGTTACCAATAAATAACATATATGCACTGCAATGCACATGGGCATTATAGGAAGAACAGAAGACAGGTCAGCTGTATTTCTGAGTCTGCTCTACTCTTCCTGTAAGTGAAGCGATTCAATTAATATTCATGCAAGGCTTTAGCATGCAAGGACTCTGTAGAATTACTCTGTAGAATATATTAGTATGAGAGGGCATATTGCTATTAATCAGACTAAAGACCGAAGCTTTAGAAACTTCTCTATTAAATCAACAAACCTTAATACATGTCTGGCACTGTGTTCACTGCCATAAAACGGATATGTCAAAATAATGAACTAGTTGTTATAGAAAGCTGAATTGTTTACAGCTGAGGTATATCCCCTGCCTGAAATTCCCTGTCTCTGTTGCCTATGTGAAACAGTTTTTGAGAGGAGGTGGATGCTGGTTTACTTCACTTGCAGGACGGCATTCGGTATAACAGTTAACCATCATGATGGCTCCCTGGTTCGATGCATTACTGGCAGGTAGATGCATTTCAGGTAGAGAAAACAGAAGGAGATGGTCCTGTCTCATCTGCTGGTCTTTGGTGAGCCCAGTTGATGTCACTTGAAAACAAAGCAAAAAAGAAATGAAGACAATATATCTGTTCCCACATCAACCCCCATACATCACTGTCTGGCTGTAATGAGCAGCCTGTCTTGGAAAATCATTCTACCTGAAAGATGTACAAAATGGTCTAATACACTAAGCAGATGGAGCTAGAAGGGTGGGATTTGTAGTTTTTGTTCACCGGGGAATTAAGCTTTGTTTTCTAAACCACACAAAAATTACCCTTTTGATTTATAAATAGAACACTTTTTGTTTGTATTTTAACATTGAAAGTAATTATGAAAGATACCATGTTGAAGGGCAAATATCCAGAACTCACTCAGTTGTTTTTTGTTGCTTTTGAGATGAGAGCACCAGTGACCTAAAGTCAGACTTCCGCATCAGAGGTTACAGCACTGGAAATCAAAACTCACTCCACAAGCACCATAGAATCCAACGAAGAGCTTTAGTCAAATTCTAAAACTCACTAAGTCCACAGAAATATTCTCAAAAACTTATCCTGCTTTGGAATTTAGCTCTTCAAATATGGAATGGCATTTCTTTCCGTTCATCAAGTGCTTCCTGGTGCAGTATGCAGTTATTGATATTTCTTTTGGGATGGTGGACAGACATGTTGCCTCACTTGGCCAGCTTCACTGTAAATGTGGTGCTGTTTTTGAGACAGGGTGCTAGATACAGAGGAATAGTTTACAGATTGGTCACAGTGCTGATTTAATTCTCAGTGATCCATGCTGGTTTATAAAGGATTTAATCTTTGATGTGCTCTGGCACAGTCAACACTGACATTCACTTTGGGGACCTATCTCCAGATCCCTCTGCCCCGTCCATGCCTACGAACCTGAGGATCACAAACGTGACCGCCACGTCGGACAGAGCCGTAGTGGTACGACTCAACTGGAACCTTCCAGAGGAGCCTGACATCCCGGTGCACCACTACAAGGTTTTCTGTAGCTGGACAGCCAGCGGCAAGGCTCCGGAGCCTGCCAGAATGAGGAGGAGGAAGACAGCCAATGGGGTAATTATGTCCTTGCCTTGCCAGTGTGCTGGCAGGCAAGAAGATGCTGGAGGGCTGGGTGATGCTGTTTAGAGTAAATGCATTTCAGTCCAGTGTTGTAAGCCACAACACTGTAAATAAAACTCAGAGCGAGGGAGACGAAAGACGAAGCAGTGACTGCTGCAGCTCTGATTGCGCAAATGAACAGATCGATTGCTTAAGAGCTGATGCAGTGCCAAAGTGCCTTGTAATTACCACGGACAAATGAAACCTTTTAAAGCACTTAGCTAAAAGATCTATCTATCTATCTATCTATCTATCTATCTATCTATCTATCTATCTATATATATATATATATATATATATATATATATACTGTATATATAATATTATATTATATATGCTCTAATAAATCAAGAACCTTTGATACATGTCTGAATGTTAGCTTCATCTCTAAAAATGTTTCATTCATTTTGAGCTTATTTGTATGCAGCACACCTAAGTACCACTGTGGCTTCCCCAGGCTCCTTGTAAAAGACGGCGTCTTGACATCGGGGGTTGCGTTCGCATTGTAGTCTGGCAAACTTCTTTAGGCTCAGGCTGAACCTTGCCTGTACTGTACATCTCAGACAGTAGGCTTCTCTCACAGCACCATAAAAAAGGCCACTATACCAAGCAAGCCTTAAGAAGGTTCACACCATCCATATGTGATTTTAATAACGGTGAGCTTTCTGTCTCAAGATCCTGCTTTGACATTCCAAGGTTGCCTAAGAGACCTTGGTGTGCTGGCTGGACACAGATTGGCCAGTTAGTTATTGGTGTGCATTGTTGCCATTTCAGGTCCAGACTTACGTGGACCTGGAAGACCTGCAGGCTAACAGCAGCTACATAGTGGAGTTACAGGCTGTGACGTACTGGGGTCAGGTGCGACTGAAAAGCCCCAAAGCCACACTCCAGTTCAGCACAGCCCACGTCAATCACACAAGTACGTCCTTCAGAGACAGTGCAAAGCCTTGGTTTCTGTGGTTTTATAGGCATGATTGTTTTGACATTAGTTGATTGTTTTTCACTGTGAGCAGCATCGATGAATGCTCACTCTACTTCTTGGTGAATATAGTGAGAATTTCCTCACTGATTTGCCTTTTTATTTGGATTATTTATATACATTTTGGTTTGTCTTGTTAATGTATAGCTCAATAATGCAACAAAACATGTTTTATGATTGCTACCTGCATGTTGTTTACTAAATCACTAAATTATCAAAAGATGTGTATCAAACTGCTTAGAATGCAATACACATAATATCGATTATAGTGATTGTAACTAGCACAATCATGCCAAATGAAATGTGTTGTAGTACGGTGTTCTCAACCCAGTCCTTGGGGGTTGAGAACTCCTTCATGGGAGTTGGGTGGGAGCAAAACACGTGGACTGTATGGGTGTCCACAAGGACTGGGTTGAGACACTGACGTAATAGTGATATTCTGCTCATCTTTTTTTTAACCCAAGAAGACTCATTATTCAAGTCAAAGAAAGCAGAAATGCTGGTTGGTGGCAGAAACACAGGAAAACGAGCCCCAGCCGCTCTGGAAGTGGGAACCCCCTTCTACCAGGATGGGCAGCTGCAGGTCCGAGTCTACTGGAAGAAAACAGGAGGTATGAAGGAGTTCGGGCAAAAGCCCAGTGAGCTGCACCTGAGCCCAGTTTGAACGCCCATAGATTTAGTGGTAATACGTTACATATTGTCCCTCTGGCTATGCAGATCCAAACTCATTTTTTAGTACAGATTTAAACAAACTTAAAATGCACTTAAAACAAATTTTGATGAGTTCCATGAAATATGCAGTCAGCGATTCGATGAGTGTGAACCTGCACATAGTGAATCATAAGCTCTGTTTCTGAAAGAATAATAAACATAGTGTGGACGTAGTGTGTGACGTCTTTCAGTGACAGATGTGTTCAATAGCTCCCTCTGCAGAATAGCACACTGCTGCAAAAGTGGTCAATTTGGTTTGACAAGATTTGACATCATTCTTCTCTAAGAAACGGGTGGACATTCAAAGTGTGGACATGATTGTGTAGGTATCTCAGTCAACAGTCTGTATCGGAGTGGAAACTCTGAAAGCCAAAGCTGAAGAGTAGCCTGTCACATCTCATTCAGTGGTTTATGTTATGTTACTAATATACGTCACCACCAAAGCCAAACTCTACATAACCAGCAGAGGAATGCCCGGACTTTAAGAAGCCCACTTCTCGTGATCGAGATGGCTTCCGCTGTATCATAAAAAAGCAAATTCTTCCATGTCCAGAGTGCTTATGGTAACCATCATTAGTGATCTTTACTGATTAACTAATCCGGTCCTGGTTGGGTATGATTTTAAGGGTTAAAATATTACAGACTATTACAGATTTTTGCTAGCAGTGCCAGTGTGAACAATGTATGCAAGAGCTCAGTTATGTGTGTTTGATGAGGAGGACATTCATACATGAAATAAATGATATAAAAGTGAGCTGCACCTTAGATGTCACTGGTTCTATATCAGGAGGTAAAATGCACCATAACAATGAAACATTGGCCATGACAATCCAGTGACTGCAGGTCTGCAGACTACTGCAGTCTATGGCTGAGAAGCACTTTGAAATATTACACTGAATAAAAGTGATTTATGTGTCGTTGGCATCCCACTGATAAAAGATCAGCTAAGCAAGAGAATGTAATAAACAGATTACAGTGGAAAAATCAATTGGGGCTTTTGAATGCCCATGCCAGGGTTTTAGAGCCGTCTCTTGGAGACTGTAAATCTGTGTCAGCAGAAGGTATTGTTTTCAGTCCCGCTTTTTCAGTTTCTCCAGCCCTTATCCACCATTACAATCCCCCATTGCTGGCATTTTCACAAATCACTTTCCTGCTCTGTCAGCTCACCTTGTTACACCTTGTTTAAGGTCCCTATTTTGCTTTCTTTGCCTTATCCACTTGTCATTTCTCTTCTGGGTCCGAGATGCTGCCCCCTTCCGAGCATCAAATGTGTGCCAAAGTCCCCAAAGAATTTTTACTTCCTGACTGTAATTGAGGATGTTGCCAGGGGCAAACAGTGTCGCTTAATTATTAATGAACTAGAACTTCTTAATACAAATGACATTCTGATAACTAGCAGGACCTGAATGTACTATGGCATGATTTAAACACCACTGATTATCTACATAGAAGGCTTCTGGGTAGTAATCAGCATAGCTTTGAAGACCCAAGTCAGTGTAATTTGACTCTGTTCTGCTTACAAGCTTTCAGAATAGCAGATTATATGGAAAAATGACAGGCAGAGATATTAAACAGATTGGGACCCTTTCCCATCTAACAGTGCTTCTGTAAAAACGATTGACATTAACTAACCCTAACCTTTGGAATAACATGGGAAATCAGGAAGTCTCTATAATTATATTGTGCACTGACTGATCCCTACACCATTTTAACAGTGTGTGGACTGGATACATGCATTAACCAATGATGTAATTGTCTTCTGTTTCTCTGGATGCAGACCAGCCCGCAAGCCGACACCATGTCCAATGGAGCCCTGAGTCCTGCAGCTACAATGAAACGGCAGCAACAGGAAAATCCAGCACCCAGGTACTCTCACATGTCCATGTATGGAAACTATCCTTTGTTAGCAAACACATTCATATGAAAATGTTGCTCTTCCTATTTGTTTACTGAAAATTTTCAAAGTGCTTGAGTTTGAATTGTTGGTATATTGCTTTGTGAAGAGACACAATGAGTGGTTTTAATCCAAACCATTTCAATGTAGACCATGATAAATGAATCTTCTACAGCATATTTTAGGTCTATTGATCTAAAAGTATATAACTTGTTCCCAGAACATCAAATTCACAAAAATCAACAACAAGATATATGTTGGGCTTCTCGGATCTCGAAAACGTGAGCCTGTTCTAACAAAAGATTTCCTGGTTTAGGAGAACTACATAAACCTCCCTGGCCTGATGTTCTCCTGCAAATACAAAGTCACCGTCCACATGATGACGTCCAAGGGTCGCTCCAAGACAGAGAGCACTACTTTCCTTACTCCACCCTGTTCTGTTGTCCAGGTCAAGAGCCACAAACCCATCCATTGCCCTGGAGAAGGAGGTGAGCTGAATTTGGCAGACGTTCTCATATGCTCTGTCATTGTCAGTTCATCAGGATAAATCATCTTGCTGTCATATGACATCATGCTGAGTACTAACATTCTCCATGTCTCACTTTTCAGGAACAGTTCATCCAAACGTACTGCTAAAGCCAGAGAACCTGACCGCATCTTTTTCCATCAATGAGGGAAATATCACAGGGAGCTTCTTCTGGAGAGTGCCGAGACCCCTTCCAAATGAGCAAATCACAGGGTTCCAGGTCACCTGGGCTGAGGTCACCACAGAGAGCCGACAGAACAGCCTGCCGAATAGCATCATCTCCCAGTCTCAGATACTTCCTGCCGTATGTTGCCTGATGTTGAACTATTCATTTCCATGGATGTTTACATGAAACATATATAATATTATCCTCTATGTGTGGGAGTGTGTCAACTCGCACTGCTGCTTTTCATTTTTTATTTCCCACGCATCACATTTTATCTTCTATGATATGTCAGAAAAAAAAAAAGTACAGTTTACACAATATTGTCCCGTGATGCCTGGGAACTTCCTTGCCATGATAGAACTCACTCATGACAATAGCAGGTCTCGGTTTGTTTTAATAGAGCTTTGCATTTTATCATGTTAATAATTTGCTAAGATCTATAAAAATCTATTTGAATTTCCAGTAAATTAAAATGTTCTGTAAACATCCTCCATGGAATCACAGACCTTAAGGCAAACTGTATAATTTTATTTATTATTTATAATAATAAAAACATCTATAGAGAGGTGTAAGGCAGACAGTATGAGGTAAGGAAATTGTAAGCCATAACTTAATCAATTTTCTCTTTTAGGACCGTCATCTTCTAGTAGTTACCAATCTGCAGCAGGCAACCACCTATAGGCTGGAGGTTCAGATAATAACTACTGGTGGTGAAGGACCAGCCACTATGAAGACATTCCAGACTCCTGTTGTGTCTCCCATGCACCAGCACCGTAAGCAAATGCACCCGCCAGCGGAACACCCTCACACGTATGACTGTGAATATCTGCTAGAGCTGTATCGCAGAGTAAAAACACATGTCTGGCATCTATGTTCACTATGCATACTATGGAACAAACATATTTTGATACATAGTGCATGATTAATGTGCAAGTCAAGCATTACACCATCATCAAAAAGGCTTTTTTCTTTTGGAATTTTTTATATATATATATTTTTATGATCTCTTGCTGGAGAACATTAAAATGAGATAACTGATGCTATGATTGTTTTGGGTGGTTCTTAGGGTCTAAAATCAGGCAGCATCACCCACACCACCGGAGGCCATCGGTGGAAAAGCAATGAGGGTCTGTTTTGGTCATACCTGGGCCGGAACCGGTGCCACTGCCCACAGCAGTGATGTGGTGCTGAAGTGAATCTGAATCAGACAGGGGCTCAGTTCCTGTGACATCATCAGCACCACGTTCTCGGTCCTGTGTTTCGCCTGATTCTGCTCATCACGCTCAGGTCAGCCCAAAACTCCTAACTTCACCACAGTCCATCAACCTGGGTAACAAAGGGATGATACCTTTACATGGTCACAGTTTGCAGGTAAACAAATATCAAAGGTTCTCTGTAATTGTACACATAGGAAACGCCTCTTTTAAAGTTTAATACTATTGCAATCATGATAAAAATGGTGTTTGAAGGCATTTTTATGCAAAAAGCATTTTTCTCAATTTGAAAATAACATCTAATAAAAGGTACGGAATGAAAGCCTTGAAAATTTAAAATAAGAATTAATGAAAGCATAACCTGTAATCGCAAAGAACTGTTGATTCTACTATTTATGATATTACATCAGTTATTGACATGATGTTTGTACACTGATGGTTTACATAAGCGAATTAATTACTGTTCTGCAGGTAATCAGCGTTGCATGTACAAATTAAGTCCATTTGATTTAGGGAAGGTCTGCGTCCCCACTGAGTCGCTCTTGAAGGTTTTGCATGACAAAACATATTGTTCTGTCTTAGGCATGGAATGCATCTATGTTACCTCTTTTAAATATTTTAGCAAAATTTATCAGAAAAAAATAATAGAGAACTTTATGGAAAATAAGTATGTACCGTTTAATAATAGAATGGTAATTTAGTGTGGAAATATGTATGTGCTTATTTTTTCTAGAAAAATCCTTGTGGTACAGTAAGTAAATGTCTTATTTATTTATGTATGTATTACAAAGTGTGTTGCGTGTGTGTGCTTGCGTGTTATTGTCACTCTTTAAACTGACAAGACTTATTGTAAAGGCATTTTGTAAAAAGTGAATTGTAAATACAGTCCTGTTTTTGTTAACATCTGTCCCCACCCCCCAAGTGAGAACTGTACATATTGTCAACTAATAAAAGAACCCTTATGTAAGCCGTGTTTCCTTTCTCAGTCTAGTTTGGTTAGAAAGTTACTGCTAATAGTCAAGGTGACTTAAATAGTTTAGTAAAAGGTCATCAGAATGACCTTTCAGAATGAAATATTTCCTGTGAGCTACTAGGGGTGGGGGGAAATGATTTCTCACAATTCTTAAAGGTGGTAATTTTAATATTGCCGTGAGAATGAAAAAATAATTTTCTAAAGATAAATTTAAAGATGGGTTACTGAAATTTTGTTGTTCACATTTGGCATGCTGATATATTTGCCCAGTTGCACATAGCCTGATTTTGTTAAGGGACTGACATTCGCTAGTTTGGCACAATGCTTTCATGAATGAGTAAGTGAGTGCAGAGTTTTTCCTTGCACCATCTCAGTTTAAAGCCACAACTAACTGCAAGTGGGTGAAATGTAAACTTTCATTGAATACCTCTGTACCACTTCCCTTAACACTAACAGTTTTGAAACAAATTGAACTATTTATACTTTTTTAAACTCCTCCCTCAGATTTCACTTACCACGTGTCTTGCAGTTTCATTGGCTGTAGCTTGTCGCCACACTCAGTCACAACACTTTTCACACCACAGGACTTGGAGTTGCCGACAGGTCCAGATATTTAGCCTGCTAGATATCTGATGGGCGTCTGCAGCCCATCGGTCATGCCTTTGAACTAATAGTGATCAAGTGCCGATTTGCCAGCGTCCAGCAAACAACGATTTGCCACTTATTTGAGGCATAAACTGTCAGCACGCAGAAAATTAGGGCTAAAATTGTGTAGTGTGAATTTTTTAGGCGGGTCTGAAATTCCGGGCAAAAGCATATACTCGGATAGTGTCGTCTAAAATGAGTTCACATGTTAGAATGTGTTTGTTAAAAATATTTAAGTTCAGTATAACAGAGCTGACAGACATTCTTAATCGTATCAACTACTCCCTCTCTCTGGTGTTGGCGTAACTTATTACATTATAATCATTTATTAATTTATTATGGAGAATATTGGCAAACCATAATATTCCCAAACTACTGATTTAAGTGATGTGGGAGGGTCTTTCAGCTCTCTAGCACTAGCTGTAACCAATTCAAAGCCACAATTAGCATGTTTTCCATGTTGAACATTTACTTGTAAATTTAGGTTTCTCCTGTATCAAGAAATGTATGAATTTGTTTCATTGTGCGTTTCAAACGGAATAAGCTGTAACTGAAAGGCACAGGAAGAATATCTATACTGTTACTGCCCTTGTCTTTGCTTTAAATGTAGACCTGATATGCCTTTCAGCAAAATCTGTTTAAAAATTGCAATACATATTGAATCAGCTGTCAAATATCTTGGACAGTTATGGTTAGGGAAGTGCATTTGTTGTCGCACAATTGCTCGTTTGAATCCCTAACCAGTGAGGTACCCTGAGCACCAGTGACCCCCACCAAGCACTGCTCCCTGTGTCCTGAATTAGCTGCCCTTTCTATGTCACGATGATACTCCTGGGTTTCCATATACGACACCCTTGCACCTATTTTCTTCTCTAGTGTAACATGAATGGAAGTTTTGATCTGAGCGTAGCAGACGGTGCTTGGATTGCTGATCACCAACATAAGAGCCTGGGACTCGTGTGATTACAGTCCCCAACAAAAGGAGTGGATGACTAAGCAATTAAGAAGTCATTTGGTATGAAAACTGGAAATCATCAGGAGTGGAGTTCAATGCTGTGTTATTACATTTCCATTTACCGTAGAGTATAAATACAGCATAATGTTTTCAGCTGGTCATTAAACTGATGGTTTTCTGCTTGGCTGTGTTTGTCTGTCAGTTGGCACACGAGGCAAGATACACAGCTAGTTTTATTATTATTATTTTCTGGCAGCGTTGTTTGATTATTTTGGCAGGTCACGTGCCTTGTCATCAGAGGTTTTGTTCCCTCTAAGTTCCTCTCCCTTCCCCCTTGACGCCCCTCCATTTCATGTCAAACCACCAAAATATGTACTAGTGCTGAACCATTACGGCTACATGCTGCTGACCTAAGACAGGAGCTTCCTCTCACTGAATGTAGCCAGTGGACTGTTAGCCTCATGCTTTCTGCCAAATGTCATGTGGGCCTCAGAGGAAAGACAGCAAAAGAGTCAAGCAGAAAATGGTAAATGATTTGTAAAGGGTGTAGAATAAGGAGGTTGGACCAGGTGAAGGTATGTTGTCACTCCAGCACAACATTTTGTTCTCAGTATTTTGGGTGTAACTTCTATGAAGGAAAAAAATGAAAAATTCAGTAGGGGATGCACAATCTGTGCTGTTAGTACGCACACTTACTTGGACACTGAGATCTTCTGTCTGGATATGTGTGCATTTTTCTGCAGATATCAGGTCTTGCCTCCCATGCAAGCTGCTGAGGGCAACTAAAGACTTTTGCCATCGGCCTTCACACTCTCATTGTCTATCTATCTATCTATCTATCTATCTATCTATCTATCTATCTATCTATCTATCTATCTATCTATCTATCTATCTTTGCATTCCACGATACTGAAATGTGCCTCATTTGTGCTCTGGAAAACCATCAATTCCATTTAAACCACGGCTTGCATACGAAGGCACAATACCAAAGACCATGACTGATGCCTAAAGGCAGAAGGGCCCTTTTCCATTCCCAGCATCATCTACAACAAGAGACTGTCTCACTGTGTAACTAAAACCCATGGTTTATGCCCTGGTCCAGATCCAGAATGAGGGAATCTGTCACACAAATCAGACAGAAGCACACAGAGGCTTCCTCTTCGGGTACTGTACCAAATCCATTGGATCTGCTCGGCTTTCTAGGTTATCGGAGACTTCTGACACAGGCTCTCTTGGGGCAGCAATGAGCCAAGCTGACATTAAAATACTGCTTTCTTGGGAGATATGACTCTATTGCTGAAGAAACATGGCGGAGGTTAAATTTTTATTAAAGCCTGCTGTGATGACAACAAACCCCTGGACAATACTGAAGGGATTCAAACAGGAAGTGTAGGGACTGCCCTTTTATTTTTAATATCACATGTAAGTTAATAACATGACTGTCGATTGACTTCAGGAGGACCGCTTCATCTTCCTGACGCAGTCTGGCATTTCATTAGTCTTCGATATGGCTGTCCCTCCCAATGTGTGCCCAAACTTATCAAGAATGATTTATTGCACAATGTAAACAAATGGAAAATCACACATATTTTTTTCATGAGGACATTTTGTCTTTAAAACACTATGTCCCTGCAATATAGATCTTGTACAAACCAAGAAAAAACCTTATCTGTCTCTTATTTTAACAGAAGACCAAACACTTCTTCTGCCAAATGTTTCAGAGCCCCAGTAAGTAGCTTTTCGAGTGCAAATACATGACACACAAACCCAAAAGGGATGCCGAGGAGCATAAAATCCCTTCAAGAGGAAGGGTCCGAAAGATCCCAGCAAGCCGTCTTCCAGAGACTACTCAGGGGCTGTCATATTGTAATGGTCCAAGATCTTAAATCCTGGGGAGCGCTGAGATCAAAGCTCACACCTCCAGGCAAGGTCCATGCTTCAAATACAGCCACATGTGACTGATTAGAGAAGGTCACGTCAGGCCCAGTCTGTTAAGCTCGAGAAGTAGCAAAAGAAATCAACGTCTAGATACATATTTTATACAATGATAGGAAATACTATTTTAATGATTGAAAGATTATTTTTCAAACACAACCCAATTTCAGTACCAGTCTATTTAGCATTCTTCACATTAACAAGGACTCGATGTCTAATATGTTTTATTTGATAATGATTGAACTTCACTAGGGGCACATATTTCAAGTTGTCTGTACAGTAGTGTTAATGAAAAGCTATATGCAGTACATATATGAAGCGTCATTTCATCACACATTTCAGTGAGAAAACTAACATTAGAAATTAAAATGAACTATCACTGCTGTATTAGCATATAGATGCAAGCAGATATAAGGGCCACATAAAGAAAATAACCAAAAACAAGAAAGTATTCAGAAATCAAGGCCAAAAAAGCAAGAAATCAGTGCAAAGTTTAGCTTCAGTATATATATATATATATATATGTTTAGCTTAATTCTTCATTAGGATCCCCATTTTAATCACATGAAAGCATAAACAGAAATCCAGACATGAGTGATCCACATATCCACATGCATATGAAGACTGGCTCTGTGGCATGTTTCCCTGCATGTTCTGAATGTGGCGATTTGATCAGGCTGTCTGCTTCTCTTGTGTTCTTCATAGTCACTGTCAAATGCTTTCTTAGTGAGACTCAAAGCAGATCCCTAATACAAGAACCATGTCATGGTTAAATTACCACATGTACCGTGCTCTACATGCTGACAAAGTACAGGGATGCGAAATATAATACAAAGAAAATCATGATATAGGATTCTAAGCTGCAACCAAACCTGTTCACTTCAAACGTATCAGCTCAATCAAGTTAAAGCCAATTAACTTTAAATAAGACTAGCAGAACTGGAGAATGTCTCACTCTCTGGGCCGAAAGCATCCCCATGTGCCCATTTCATCACACATCAGGATATCTAAGCCTGCTACGAAGACTGACCATCAAAGATGTCTTGCCTATCATGCCAGTAACACGTGCTTTGACACGACAAGCTACCTATTCTACAAGCTACCTATTATGACATACTATTTCATTTTTATATTATATGATGTTACAGTGCTGCACTTTTTCCACTCTGACGATTATAATCCCAATAAAATGGCTCCCGCATCATACTGAGGACTCACGTTTAACATGTACTCTTTCTGATATACTTAAAGATAGTTACATTCTACTAATTTGAGCAGATGGCTTTAATTATATAAATAATATTAATGCCAATAAGGAGGCTGGCTGATGAAGACCAACCGCTTTTGTTTTTCGCTCCATGGGGTGTGATTGATGCCTTCTATATCCCTGCAAAGTACGCACTGTAGCAGAAGTGCTTTGTATTAGCTCTTGATTACCATCGCTGTGACTGCCTAGTTC